CTTGTTCTTTATTTCCTTCTGTTACAGTCGGCTCGACCTAAGGACCTTTTTTCTATAAAGAAAAGAGAAGTATTTTCAAAGCCACAAAGATGCCGGTGATGACGTCATGTTGTTGTTGTTTCTCCACGAAAGTTGGCAGCATTTTGATCGGCACCATCAGTCTGGTGAGTATTAAGGGTGGAGGGAAGATGCTTCGTTACTATTAGTCTTCGGCATTATCGTTATCCTCCATAGTTCTTATTTTTTATTATTATTGTTTATTCTGTCTTTATTGTCTTTTTCTCTGTTCCACCTTTTCCCACCTTTGGATCTGGAAATTCTTATCGTGTGGTCGTTGTGGGTCCGGTTTAGATCCTCTGTATTTCTCCACACATAAGTATCGTGTCGTATACTGTATACCATTCATATTACACATTATATTTAACTTTTTTCTCCTCATCACACCTGCTGTTAAGAAACCCCATTTATTCAATTATTCTTAACCCTTTCACTCCCTTCCTGCTGCAGGTGGTGTCCTTCTGTGCCGCCGTCGGGTTCTGCTTCGGACTCATCAACATTGAGGAAGTGCAACATCAGCTGAAAGTCGATGTCATGAACTATCAAGGGAGTGTCAATGCCAATGTCACGGAAGATAGACTGAAGGTGTTAGACGATGTTGTTGGACTGCAGACTATTGTTGATCGTAAGACCTTATTGGTGCTTTTGAACTAATGTGTTGGAGGTATATATTGAGGGTTTATCTTGTGCTTTAGGGAAAAGTGCATTGGTATTTTTAGTTGTATAATGGTAATCTCTTTCATAACAATGTTTCGTCTCTTTTGTCAGATGTCCAAACCATCTTTATAGTTGGTCTCGTCTACTACGGAATCTACACCTTTGCTTCGCTTTTTATGACGTATGGATCGTGTACGGTGAGTATGAGACATGTCCACCCTTTCTTATTTTATATTCCATGCTTATCCGCTTTGTTTTGTTTTTGTCTCCCTTAGCATTGGCTTAGAATAACCTAACGTGACATGACTGTTACAGAACCTATTCTTCCACAGAGTATCAGGATGTTGCTTCTACCTTGGCTCGTGCTGGAATTCGTTCCCCTTGCAGCCCAGGCCGCCTCCATCATCGCCCTCTTCATGTATGGCAAAGACGACCCCACTTTGTCCCAAGGAGGAGCGTACATCATCTCAGGACTCCTTTGCATCTTGGCGTTCGGTGAGCTTTTGGGCCGAGTGGAATGGAGCTATTTTTAACTTTTGAATTAAGTTGTTTGTGGAGGCATTATTGTTCGCGTAGTTATTATTCTGTGTGGAGTTATTACTGATTGTGAGTTTTTATTATTTGGGGAAATATTAATATTTGTGGATCTATTATCATCATCCAAAACTAGACCATTTATGTATGTAACTTCTGCACACTGCCCAACATACTTTCATGCCACATACTGACAGCATCTAAAACGTTTGTGCTATTTGCTAATAATTGCTTTCTTTTCTTCTTTCTTTCTTTCTTTTCTCTTTTTTTTTCGGAGATAATTCTATCCCTCACACATTTTTTAAAAGTTGAATTGGTTTCTTGTTGTCAGTTTTCCATTTTCTTTTCTTTTCTAACTCTTCACAACCATCTCTTAAAACTTGACATTTTTCATACCCGCAGTAATTCACGTGTACTGGTGGATGTGCCCCTTAGCTCTGTACCAAAGCTTGAAAGAAGAGACCATGGTACAGCCGCTTGTACCTCCCTCTCATCCGATGTACCCTCCAGCACTTTTGAAGTACTAAATGCAGAGGAAGGTACGAAGGAAGGAAGAAAGGAAGAAGAAGAAAGGGAAAAGGAAAGTTGGTGTGATGAGGGACGAGTGGTTGTGAGGAGATTAAAGTACATGATTAGGTTAAGGGTAATTATTGTCGTTTGAGTTATATTTTGTCTATGGTTTTATATATATATATATATATATATATATATATATATATATATATATATTTTTTTTTTTTTTTTTTTTTTTTTTTTTTTTTTTTTTTTTTTTTTTTTTTTTTTTTTTAGTCAGGAGAATATGGTGATTACACATTCAGAAAATGTTAATGCCACCATTATATACGTATATATTAAGTGATTCACTGGGAAATTTGTGATATATTTAATGTTTCGTATGCTGCCGTGTTTGGAGCAAATGAAATAGCGTATATTTAATCATTGGGTGGTATCTCGTGTAAGTGATTTAAAGTAATATATTAACAGTCTGTGTATATGGGAAAGGTGATATGTAAATTAGAATACCTGATGTCTTCTCTCGTTTTCTTTTTAAACGGTTTCAAAATATTGATTTTTTTTTTTCATTCTCTGTCCTTATCAGTCTTTCTGTCTGTCTCGTCTCATCTCTCTCTCTCTCTCTCTCTCTCTCTCTCTCTTCTCTCCCCCCCCCCCCTCTCTCTCTCTCTCTCTCTCTCTCTCTCTCTCTCTCTCTCTCTCTCTCTCTCTCTCTCTCTCTCTCTCTCCTCGACTGAGA